TACGCTGATCAAGAATATATATACTTTGTTGGGTCTAAAATAATTTTGTCGATGAGTTACAAACGGAATGTCGAACTTAATATACTCTCTATACTAAATATGGTGGAGGGTATAAGAACGGGGAAATCAGAAATGATTCTGAAAGTAGAGCTAACAATTTGAGACATGTTTAAAATATAAAAATTTTACTATAGGTCTAAGAATACAGCAAACTGAAAAAAATTCTTAAAAATTACAAAAAAGTGTTGGTGTTAAACTGGTACTCCATGTAAGATTATGTAAAATATTTCCTGCATATTTTTGAGTATTATTGTGGAAGACACTATATACCTAAAATGAGTGGATTTCAAAAATTTTTAATTCGTATATTTTCAAAAATATAACAAGGAAAAATTCGAATAAATTCATTCGTCGTAAACTCTAAGTACCCTCCACCATTTGGAAGAAAATTTGAAAATTTCAAAAAATTCTACTAAAAAAATTACACTGTGCGACAAATCCTAATTTTTCAATATTTACGGGGAGAATTCAGCAGATTGTGAAAGTAGAGCAAAACAAGTAAAAAAATGTATAAGTCGGCTTTGCCGACAAATATATACCATCAGCCAATGTTCGTTTATTTAAATATATTTTGACTTCTGTTGTGATTATTCAAAATGTTGACCCTCTATGGAGAAGATTCCGAAGGAATGGGCTAATAATGTCCATTTCGTATCGGATGTAAAAAAATATGATATAAATATTGCGACGTGCCAAGTTTGAACTGTATTGGTTACTTCCTTCACTTTACAGGGTAAGATAAAAAAACTGCAACAAAGTCAAACGCCATAATTTTTACATTTTTTTTTTAATTTAATTGAACGAGAACAAAAAATGTCGGAAATAGCATCACATTTCAGAATACATTTAACCTTGCTTTCCAAAATACTCTAGACACAATAGTCCAACGGAAAGCAAGTAAATACGATCATTTTGTTTGTTTACAAACTGCTGTTTTCTCATCGGAGAAACCCAAATTGGGCAGTTCACCACTTTCGGCCAAGCAAAACAACTCTTTAGCTCTTTTGTCTATTTTCTTTATTTTGCAGTGTAAGCTCTTGTACTTTTTAGAATTTCAATGACTTTACCCCTAGCTCATTTTTCAATATTTTACCGAATAGAATATTACGATATGTTCAGCTCACGAGCCATTTTTCGGCTACTGCGACGCGAGTTTCGATTAAGTTACTTCTTTACTTTTCGAACAATTTCTGTTGATGTTGCTGTTTTCTTCCGTCCACATCCTTGACGTCGGACTACGCTACCAGTATCACGGTAACGAGCGATGGTACGAGACACAAAAGATTTATTGACATTTAAATGCTGGAGTGCTCTAACGATTATCCACTTGTGGTTTTCCAGCCAAATATGAAGAAATCACACTATCGCGCTTGAATTCCATCACGAATAACTTTATTTCTGGAAAATTCTTACCACAGTGTTTTTGTACTCTCGTAATCAATATAATGAGCTGTCACTGGAATAATTTCAACAGCTGTCGGACAAGTGGTATAGAAGTGACATATCACCCTGTATATGAGATACGGATATGTGGGGGAGGTAACATAAGAAATGGTCCGATCTTAACCATATTTATAACAGATCTTGTGTTGATAGAAATATTGAGATATGCCAAGTCGGAATGAAACCGGATGTTAATTTCGCATTTTTTGAGCTTATGGATATTCAAAATGTTGACCGCTTGTAGGGGAGGTAGCAGAAGGAGTGGACCGATATATTTCGTTTTCACAGTAGATGTTGTGTCAGTAGAAATAATGGGATGTGTGAAATATTAAGGGAACCGGATGCTTATTTCGAATTTTATAATAGTTTTGGTTATTCAAAACTTTGACCCTTTGTAGGGGAGGTACCAGAAGAAATGGTTCGATCTCTACCATATTTATAATAGATCTTGTGTTGATAGAGATATTAAGATATGCCAAGTCGAAATGGAACCGGATGTTAACTTCGCGTTTTATGAGCTTCATGGATATTAAAAATGTTTATCCTTTGTATGGGAGGTACAAGAAGGAGTGGACCGATATATTCCATGTTCACAACAGACCTTGGGTTATACAAAATAATGTGATGTGTGTAATTTCGAGGCAATCGGACGCTTTCAACATATTTGATAAGTGTTATATTTATTCAAAAATATGACCCTATTTGGGTGAGGTACTTAATGGATCGCACCTAACGTAGCTCTGATGCAATAATAAGATTTGAAAAGTTGGAGCAACATCGAATTATCCTGTATTTTTTTTTTTTTTTTTTTTGTGAAAATTTTGACTTGAACTCGATCTAAGTTTGATAAAAATATTGCAATGAACCAAATCACCAAATGTCCTGAAATGGATTTGATCCCAGGAGACCGGCTAAAACCGTTATTTCGATGAGGCAGATTTTGACCGTATGAAATCATACATACCTTCTCTAGCCATATGGCTAAGGGTATAAAAATAACAATGAGATTAAGACTAATTAAGTCCCTTCTATTACAAATCTTTGAAATAACTAGAAAATCGAAAATTTATTTCACATTTTACAACAACAATTTATGCACAAGGTTGGCCTTTTGTGGAGGAGACACCTAAAAGTCAGGACTAATTTTGTTCATCTTTGAATTTGATCTAAGAATCTAAATAAAACGTCTTTAAAGCAAGAAAAACATGTTCCCTTAATAATTTGACCCGCCCAGCAATTTCAATATTTTTTTCTTCAATTTTTGAATTTTATCCTTTGATATATGTGTGTGAATAAAATTCCCGAAAAAGCGATAAAAACTTTTTACTGACATTTTTCCAAAAATAACTCTCAACACATTCCTTATTTTGTTTATTTTCGTAAAAAGCGAAAAACCTACTGATCTCGGTTTTTATGTAAATCCCCTGATATTTTACACATACAGACATATGCATGTATGTGACAACGTAATCGGACCGGAATGCTATGGCGCTTATTGTCATTTGTCTCACCGAAAAATAAATAAAATCGAGTTCAATATTCTTTCAGATCAACGAATAAACAAAGTTATTAATCAATCTGTTTTGGGTTCTTGGAATGGAGAATTATTGCATTCTAAATGATATAACAACACTACGTTGTTGTTGCTATTTTTTTTTTTTTTCGTTGAAGAAATTAATTCTGCTTATTAACATAATGAAAGAGCAAAAAAAAAATAATAGTAACTGAATTGCAATGATTATTTTTAGACAGTTGCAGTTGTAGTCTGGGAGAATAGTTTCACTGGAAATCAAATTAATTGAAATAAGCGATTATTAGAAATAAATTGAATTCCATGGTGATGAAAGTGATCCGACGCCGGCACATTTTTAAAATAGATTTCACATTTTTTGAGATATAAATGTGGTAACACACACGTGCAAAGTTTGTCGATACAAATATGTTGTGAAAACAAGTAAAAAAGCTGCAACTTCGGCCGGGCCGATTTTGGAATATCCTCCACCATTTGGTACAAATTTAACAATTTTCAAGAAAAAAATAAAATCCGTTAAAAATTATGTTTAAATCTTAAAAATACCGAATGCAGCCATATATTAGGGTCTATAAACGACGACGTGGAACTCCATAGGCAACTATTGTCACAATCTATTACAATATTCAAATGCGAAACTTGAAAAAAATATGTTTATAATGTAGCTAAAATCATTAAAATACAGAATATAGGGAGGTATCATAGGGGTTATAAAACGTGGACCTGCACAGAAAATTTTTTGTCATGGGCTATAGTATCCATTACGAACTACAAATGCGAAATTTGAAACAATTCCGGTAAATAATGCCGCTGAGATCATCAAAATACCGAATATCGGGGGGTACCGTTATATGGAGGCTATACGATGACGTGGACCTGCACAGACAATTTTCTGTTATAGGCTGTAGTATCCATTACGAACTTCAAATACCAAAATTGAAACAATTCCGGTAAATAATATCGGGGGGTACCGAATATCGGGGGGTACCGAATATCGGGGGGTACCGTTATGTAGGGGCTATACGAAGACGTGGACCTGCACAGACAAGTTTCTGTCATAGGCTGTAGTATCCACTACGAACTTCAAATACTAAATTTAATATAGTTCCGGTAAATAATATCTCTAAAATCATCAAAATACCGAATATCGGGAGATACCGTTATATGAGAGCTTTACGAAGACGTGGACCTGCACAGACAATTTTCTGTCATATGCTATAGTATCCATTACGAACTCCAAATACTAAATTTAAAATAGTTCCGGTAAATAATGTCTCTAAAATCATCAAAATATCTAATATCGGCAGGTACCGTTATATAAGGGCTATACGAAGACGTGGACCTACATGGCCCCTTTTCTGTTTTATGCTGTAGTATCTATTACGAACTTCAAATACCAAATTTGAAACAATTCCAGTAAATAATGTCGCTAAAATCATCAAAATACCGAAAATCGGGGGTTCCGTTATATGGGGGCTATACGAAGACGTGGACCTACATGGCCCATATTCAATATCAAAAAATACCAAAAATGACTGCAGACATAATACACATTTGAGAGAAATTTTATCAACCTACTTCATTTCGTTTGGAAGCTAGAGTGATTTCCACAGACAAACAGACGGACGAACAGTGATAAATCGACATAGAATTTTATGCTGATCAAGAATATATATACTTTATGGGGTCTAAAATGTATATTTCGGAATGACAAACTTAATATACCCTCCATACTATGGGGGAGGGTATAAAAAGGAGTTGAAAGACATAAGTGTTAGTTTTTGTTTGGCCCTCTCTACCAAAACTTAAGTGTCCTTATGTGTGAATAGGGATTAGCTGAATCAAAGAAAGATATATTTTTTTCTTTTGGAAAGGATCTTCAACACTGAATTTTTTTCACTATTTCCTTTACTCCTGAATTGAATCTGACATGTATTCAAATATTCCATTTAATATATTCACTTACCTTCTCCTCTTGAAATATTAGAAAATTCGCTGCGGCTCCATGGTAACTGATATAGACAAAGAGGCTTTCATTGTAGGGAGGATGATTAAATTCCTTGAGTTTCCTTTATGAGCAATCATATTTTCTTTTTTAACATTTAACACAATTTATTTGTTGGACCATTGACAGCATCCGAACGAAACGATTTAATGTAATAATTTCCATTTCCGTTTTTTTGTTAGCTCAACAAATATTTCGATATATTTTCAAAATTTCTTTATTAAAAACAAATATATTACGTTCACAATTTTTAATTTTTATGTCATGGACTATTTTGCTGGGGAATATTTTTTTTTAATTTTTTAAAGGTTGAAATTTACTGTGAATTTAGTTGAGTTGAATCTGTATCGATATCGGCACTGTTACACCTGAAAAGAAAAAATAAAATTTTAGTTCATAATTATGTTAATTATTTATATTCAAGTGAAAATAGAGTAATAAACAGAATGCGTGCTTTGAGCCATTTTAGGCATTAAATATTGCCAATAAAATAACAATAACAACCACAAAGAAACTTTCAATATCGATAAATCCATCTTCATGTGGTTGTTGTTTTATTAAAAAAAATTATTTATTTATTTTTTTTTTTATTTTTTATTTATTTATTTATTTTTTTTTTTTTTTTTTTGAAAATAGTCATGCTTAATCGCATTATTGTTGTTTTTATAAAAACAACGTTTGTTATATTTAATGCGTAAAATGGTATTAACGCGTTCATTTAAAGATAATTTTCTACGAAATAAAGGACTTCGAGTCCATACAATTTTTTCTACAAAAAAAAATTCAAAGGCCTCTATGCGGAACTTTTGAAAGTTTTCTATTCTATTTCTATAAAATATTAACGGTCTCTAAGGAGGACCTTGCATATTTATACCCTCAGCTATATGACTAGAGAGATACAGCCAAAATGTGCCTCAGGGAAATCAGGGTTTAGACCCTAGGTTTCTTTAAACCAAATGCGTTAAGGGAAATTTGGAGTCGATCTGTACAGCTGGCTGGTGTGCACGGTAACTCTCGAAGCGAGTATCCGATTTGTATTTTATATTATTATCGAACATAGATCGAGTTTTGCGATGAGAAAGGTGTCCACTCCTTCTGGTACAAAAGGTCAAAATTTTGAAAAAATATTTTACTGCACAAAAAGAGAAAGGATAATCCGATTTCTCGCCAACTTGCAAATCCTAATATTTGCATCAGTGCTAGGACATGTGAAAAAATGGACAATATCGGTCTACTTCATGAAGTACCTCCCCCACAAAGAGTTAACATTTTCAATAATTGTGACGTAAGAATCCGATTGTCTTCAAATTACACATATCACAATATTTTTATTAACCCAAGGTCTGGTGTGAAAATAAAATATATGTGGGATCACTCCTTCAGAATTTTGATTACCATGAAACTCATAAAACGTCAAATTAACATCCTATTCCATTCAGACTTGGTACATCTCAATATTTCTATCAACACAAGATCTGTAATAAAGATAGTAGAGATCGGACCATTTCTTCTGGTCTGGTCTTCTAGTCTAGAAGTGTCATTTTCTTGTACACACGACTCCTGACTTTTAGCATTAAAAATATTCGCCTATTTTATATTTTTTTCATGCAAAAGTTATGATCCATTTCACCATTTAAATATCATCCATTGACCATCCAAATTTGTAGGCTTCTGACCTATCTTAAACACTTATCCAATACAAAGCCTATACATCAACTACAAAATTAGGAAAATTTTCTGTTTTTGGTCCATTTTTAGCCCTAAATAGCTAAATTGTCTCACCTCAGCGAGGTAGGGAGATTGATAAAAAAGGATAGAATTCTATTCTGACCGTACCACTAACTTCATTTCATATATCGGTCCATAGTTGAAACCTTGAGCGTAATTACATATTAAAATGAACATACAGACGGACGAATACACAAAAAAACAAGTTAAAAAGTATCAGTCGGTATTGCCGCCAGAGATATACCCTCAGCCTATGTTCGATTATCTAAATATATTTTGACTAGTATTAAGGTTTTTCAAACGTTTGACCCTCTATGGAGCAGATCCCGAAGGAATCCGAATAATGCCCGTTTCCTATCGGACCCAAAAATATGATATAAATATTTCGACAGATGTGCCAAGTCTAAATGGAATCGGATGTTAATTTGGCGATTTATGAGCTTCATGGGTACTCAAAATTTCAAAATTTCGTGGGAGAGGTACCAGAAGGAGTGGACCGATGTATTCCCCCTTCACACCAGACCATGGGTTAATACAAATATTAGGATGTGTGAAATTTGAAGACAATCGGACTTTTACATCACATTTAATGAGATTGTAATTATTCAAAATTTTGACCATTTGTTAGGGAGGTACTTGATGGAGTGGACCGATATTGTCCATTATCACACCTGTCCTAGCACTGACGCAAATATTAGGATTCGCAAAGTCGGAGCAAATTCGTATTAGCCTTTCTCTTTCAGTGCAAAAAATATATTTTTTTGAAAATTTCGACCTTTTGGGGGGGGGGGGGGTACCAGAAGGAATGGACCGATATTGCCCATCTCCGAACTCGATCTAAGTTTGACAAAAATATTACGATGTAGCCAATTTGGACCAAATCGGATACTCCTTTCGAGAGTTATCGTGCGGACCAGCCAGACAGACAGACGGACGGACGGACATTGCTAGATCGACTCCAAATGTTCTGAATCGGATTTGGTCCAAAGAGACCTAGGGTCTAAAACCGTTATTTCGACTAGGCACGTTTTGGCCGTATCAAATGATATATACCCTCTGTAGCCATATGGCTGAGGGTATAAAAATCTGTTTTTGGTCAGCTCGGCGAAATAGGTAGATTCAAATATAATATCTTATGCCCTATACCAATATTTCGAGGTGTTACAATCTTTTTGGACCAATCAAACTTATAATACCACCAGCACATAAATTGTGTCCCACAACTTGCTATATAGAAATATATTGTTTTAATTCTAAGATGATTAACATGAAAACCATTACCGAATACAAAGAACTTAGTAAAACTTAAAGGCACGATGAAGAGATCACCCAAAATTATGGCGTTCTGGTTGCAGCCTCTGATTGCCTGGCATATAGGTTTAATATTTTATACTAGTTTTCCGTTCCCATACTTTGTGGGCAAAGCTGTTCTCTCAGAGCGAATGTGCCATTAGACAAGCTAGAGATTATCAATCGGTTTTGCGGACAGATTTATACCCTCACCCAATGTTCAATTATTTAAATATATTTTGGCTCCTGTTATGATTATTTAACTTGTTGAGCCTCTATGAAGTAGGTTCCGAAGCAATGGACCAATATTGTTCATTTCGTATCTCTCCTAAGTAAATATGATATAAATATTGCGACGTGCTAGGTTTGGAATATATCGCCTACTTCCGTCTCTTCCGTTGAAGTGTGCATTATATGCCAGATATATAGTCGACGGAAGTATTCCATTTTCATCCTTCATCTTCATATTGGTATGGGCAAAATTAAAAGAAAATCGAACATGTATCTCCAATTTAATACGAAATCATAAATTCCATATTCACCCCAGGTTTCTGGTTGAGAGAAATATTTGGTTGTAAAGAATCGCTGACCTGATTCAAAAGTTATGACAGAGAATAGTATTGCAAATTGTGACCCTTTGTGGATGAAGTACCAAAAGGTATTCACAGATATATATCATCTTCACAGCAGATCATGTGTTAGCAAACATGTTTGTATGTGTAAAATTTGAAGAAAGTTGGATGCTTATTTTTCCTTCTTTGAGCGTTTTGTTTTTCAAAAATGGTCCGATATCTACCATATTTGTAACAGATCTTGTGTTGATGGAAATATTGAGATGGGCCAAGTCTGAATGGAATCGGATGTTAATTTTGCGCTTTATGAGCTTCAAGGACATTCAAAATGTTGACCCTTTGCAGGAAAGGTACCAGAAGGAGTTCGCCGATATATCCCATCTTCACGGCAGATCTTTTGTTAATAGAAATAATGGAATGTGTGTAATTTGAAGAGAACCGGATGCTTATTTCGCATTTTATATTCGGTTGGAGGAGGTACCAGAAGGAGTGAACCGATATCGCCCATCTCCAAACTCGATCTGAATTTGATAATAAAATTACGATGTACCAAATTTGGACCAGGATACCCCCTTCGATAGTTATCGGTGCATCAGTCAGACAGACAGACGAATGGATGGACGGACATCGCTAGATCGTCTTCAAATGTCCTGAAACGGATTTGGCCCAAAGAGACCTAGAGTCTAAGTCTTACCGCAACATTGATGCAAGAATTTTCCTGATATACATATGGAAATAGAGATTTCTTTTCTTTGGTGTCGTGGAACGATATAGCCCATCTTCGTACTTGAGCTGCCTGGAGATAAAAGACTGATCTGTGCAAAATTTTGAGCTTCCTATCTTTATTCATTTTGTCTCTAGCGTGATTACAACAGACGGACGGACAGGGCTAAATCGTCTTAGAATTTTGGGCCTAAAATTATTATTTTGATGAGTTACAAGCGGAACTCATCAAATACCCTCCACTTGTATGGTGGAGGGTATAAAAACGTACGAAAAATGGGGTTTTAAAAACTACAAATTTTTGCTCAAACATTAAAAGGATTCGGAATTTCTAGACCAATCCCAATGGATATTTTTGTTGAATATTTGCGGGGCTCATGGCTATTTTAAAATTTGACCCGCTGTGGGAGAGGTCTCCACACCAGATCTTTTGGTAATAAAAATATTTAGATGTGTGAAATTTATATCACAATTTATCAGAGTTATAATTATTTGTAATTTTGACCCTTTGTGGGGGGGTTACTTGATGGAGTGGGTGGATATTGTCCATTTTCGCACCTGACCTATCACTGGCAAAAACATTGGGGTGTCTAAATTTTGCATAAAATTGAAAGATCCTTTCTCTTTCTATTAGGTAAATTATTTTCTTTGAAAATGTTGTACTTTTGTGGGGGGAGGTACTAGAAGGAGTGGACCGATTTTGCCCATCTCCGAGCTCAATCTAAGTGTGAGAGTAGTATTACAATGTACCTCGTGCGCACTAACCCGTCAGAGAGACGGATAGAAACCTCTAGGTCGACTCTAAATGACCTGAAACGAATTTGGTACAAAGAGACCTAGGGTCTAAAACCGTGATTTCGATGAGCCACGTTTTGGCCGTATGAAATGAGACATATCTTCTGTAGCCATATGGCTGAGGGTATAAAAACTGGACATCCAATTTAGGATGCCTCTTCTTTCACTTTCTCTTCCACTCTCATAATTAGTATTTTTCCAATAGTTATTTTAAATTACAGATATATTCTCCAAGAAATAAAGATCGGAATAATTTCTCCTTGCGCTTGGCAGTAAAAATATGTTATCTATAAAATTCATATAAAATAGAATCTAACTGCATAGAGGACGATTCGAAGAGAAGAAATAATTTTTGTTTTATGTTTATTCATTTAATATTTTTCTGGAATTACTATGAATTTCCCCAAAAAATATATATTCTTACTCACATTTTATGTTTCCACGAAATAATATTTTAATTTTCATGGATTATTTTTAATTATTTTTTGGATACATATAAGTATCTTCTTATCACAATTTTTACGAAGCATGCTGCGTTTACAATTCTTAAAAAAAAAAACGAAAAACGATTACAATCGTTGGTTGGATGATTCATTGAACTTGAATTTCTTTTGTTGTTAATTATTTGTTTTTTTTTAATTTCACAACATTTGTTATTTTTATTTTTTTGTGATTTTGATTTCGAATAAAAACACAATTTTTGGGATTTGTATTTACTTTATTTTTATTATTTTTTTTTTTTTTTTGTGGTGTTTTGTTAAAGCGACGGCATTTTGTTGTCGCTTCGCATTGCAGCTATTCTTCAAATACTGTTTGGCGGCGAGATTATTGATTGATCCGTTAACAATGATGAATTTTTTTCGGGTGTCATTTTCTCGAGAGATTTGTTACTTTGTGTGTGTTTTTGTTGCTTTTTGGTGAAATGATAAGAATTTATTTTGATACTTTTTCGAAACATCAAAAAAATGATGGTGGATAGGGATTTTCAGAGAGAACAAATGATTTATTTCAATTTGTTTGGAATGTAGCTGCTGTTGATACACTTGTTAATTTCAGGTCATTTAATTGTCACTTTGGTAAGGTGTTAATATCATTAATTTAATTTTATTTTTTTCACATCTCAATTTTGGTGTTTTATTTTTAGATATTTTTCTAATTTTTTTTATTTTTTTTTAATTTAAAAAACTGATGAGGTTTGAAACCTTAACCATATTATCTATGTGGAGCTAATTTTTTGTTACATTTGTTGTATGTTTATAACAAAGGGAATTTCCTTTAAATTTTATATCTTTTTTGATTTCAAAATCTTGCCATTATTTTGGAAATTCCTCTATCCATTTAAATAAATTCCCAAATAACCAGATATTTCTTAATATTTATCTTTTTGCAATTATTTTCAAAGGAATCTCCTTGGCGTTTTTTAACCGTTATTACTTTTTTTGTAAATTTCCGATATTGTTGTTTTTTTTTTTACAAAATAGCCACCGAGTATTCGTTCGTTACGTTAACGATGCGCGCTCCGTTGTGTTACGTTGTCGCCAATGTGTTTTGTATTGATTTCGTGTTTGGTAGCTGGCAGGGTTGGCTGTCTGGTCGGTTGGTTGGTTGCTTTGTTGGTTAGCTAGCTAGCTGGCTGGCTGGTTCGCTCGCTGGCACATTGTAGCAGTCGGCAGCAGCAACGACAACAACGTTTTGAATGGTAATCGTTTTTATTTTTCGTATTTCATCTCAGAGCTATTAAGCAGTGTTGTCAATTTTGTGAAGTTGAAAAAAACGCGCCAATTGATAAAGGATGTTCATTTATGAATCAGATACAATCAAGCAAGAAGTATTTGTTGCCAATTAATGGGTTGCCTCAAAATCAAGCAAGAGACAAACGAACTCATGGACTATTCAGGAAATAAGCATTAGTCTAGCCGTGTCATTCTGTCCGTCAGCCTTTCTGTCAGTGTCCACGATAACTCTCGAAGGAAGTATCCGATTTGGCCTAAAATTGGCGCATCTTAATATTTTTACCTAACTTAGATCGAGGTCAAAGATTGGCAATATCAGTTCACTTCTTCACTGCAACCTACACCCTCCCTCCCAAAATTCTAAATTTTGCGAAAAAAAGTCAAATCTCACCTCGCGAAGGAAGGTTACGAAAAGTACTTAAATGTACTAAAAATTTAATACTTTGTATTGGAAAAACGGAATGAGCTAGAATTCTTCTGCTGGAGTGCAGGATATATGTACCAAAAGGGTGTTTGGAAATCCATACTTAAAGGTTACGAAAAGTTCTAAAATGGTACTAAACTTCTTAAAATTGTACAATTTTGTATTATGTGCACGGATAGAGCTAAAAACTTGACAAAAAAAACTTGTATGAGAAACAAGAATGGAAAGTGATGCTTATATACGAGGGTGGTTTTGGAAATGTGTACAAGCTGTTCTAAATGGAACTAAATTTGAAATAATTTAGTTATGGATAAGCAAATGGAGCTGAAATTTCAGAATTTTGCTATTGCGATCCCTGTTGGTAGTAGGTTTGTGATAAAGTGCAGCTGGGGCTGGATTCCTAAAATTTCATATGCATTCTCTGTCGGTATCTCAAATAGAGATATGGAGGTGGTTTTGGAAATGTGTGCTAGAATTGTTCAAAAAGTACTTAATTAGGTATTGGGTTAAATTTGATATTGAGGTCTCTGTTGGTATCTAAATTTAGATACAAAGGTGGTTTGTGGTGGAAATGTGTAATACAATTTTTCGAAAAGTACAAAGTGGTACTAAATTGGATTTTTGGTGCAGGGATAACATTTGGAATCTAGAATTAAGATATGGAACGGTTTTGAGTGATTAATGTAGGATGTTAATATTTAGTGTATATCACGTTGTATCGCAATATTACAAATTTCAACACGGTATCTACCTGATATAATCAGTAATGCACTTCTATCAAATTTTTCTGGATATTCAAGCTATGGTTCGGAGATAACGTCGTAGATAACTTTCCAATAATAAATTGTTCTTCATATAGATATATATTAAAGCTATATCAAAATCTGAAGTGATCTTGACAAAATTTGGCAGTGACATTTCTGGTCTGAATGCGATATTTGCCATCACTGTCGTGGAGAACATATTATGAATCTGGGGACTTAAACCCCAAATCGGATGAAACAAGTATATGTGAGTTATAGCTAAATCTAAACCGATTTTCACCAACTTTGTAGTATTTGCGTCTAGGCTAAATTCGGTAGTATATGCAAAAATCTACTCCATTTAGGCTGTTATTAACCATTTAGTGCACAATAAACGTCAAAACGGGTTAAGATATTTGTGGTAGTTATATCCAAATCTGAAAATTCGCCCTGCACCACAGTGTGGCGTAGGTTTAAAAATATTAATATCTTAATAATGTTTTCAATATGTCCTTTGGAGGCTATAAAAACGCTAAATTTACAACACCGCTCTTAAACACCATTGGGGAAATGAATTTATGTGCAAGTGTGTATTTGTGTTTATTGCTTGCCCGCTCTCTCTCTCTCTCTCTCTGTCTGTCTCTCACTCACTTTTGAGAATCAATTTGTATTTGTGCACACTTTGTGTTGTTATGATCTCAAACATAATTTCCCAAAAACCAAAGCAGAAAAACAATCTTGTAGCATCTTCTTCGGCTCTTCTTCTGGTTTATGGATTTTTTGTGTTAAGAGCGCGCGAGTTACGTATAATCATACTACCCCTGATAAAATTGATAAGTTCTTGGAAACAATTAGCCAATAAAACGTGTACAATTATTGCACTGTAAGCATAAGTGAATTTGACATTCTTTAGTTTGACTTTATTTTATTTTTCCAGTTAAAACTGTCTGGAGCTGAGTATACAATTATTTACAAAAGTGTGTTAATCAAATTTCATTTAAAATAAACTTATGCTAACACTGCAATAATTAATTAACAAATAATACCTGTAGAATAAGTAAATTAAAAATGTAAAAGTTAGTCTTAGTTCCATCCTCTTAGTCGCAAGTCGACGAATAAATAAATAAAAGAAAAAAAAAAAAAAAAAAAAGAAAACAATTTTTTTTTTTTAATAAACATAATTAATCAGGTTATCTAATTGGCGCAGTCGGTAGGATCCTTTAGGAATTAAAAAGGATCCAGTGAAACGTACCTAAATTATAAATAATTAAATAAATTCTGCGAATCCTACGGGACCCTCCAGGATTATAAAATAAACAATAGTGCAGTGAATAATTCAAAAAATTAAACACCACTAAAATAAACAATAGTGCAGTGAATAATTCAAAAAATTAAACACCACTAAAATAAACAATAGTGCAGTGAATAATTCAAAAAAATTGAACACCACTAAAATAAACAATAGTGCAGTGAATAATTCAAAAAATTGAACACCACTAAAATAAACAATAGTGCAGTGAACATTTAAGTTAAGTGGACACCACTAGATAAAGGAAGTCAATCCTTTTTTTTTCTTTTAAAAGTGTATTCGCAAAGGCAAAAAGTCTTCGACAAACGAAGAAGAATGGAGGAACAAGCTCACATCGCATCCGTAAATGTGGCAGAAGAACTAGCCAGAAAGGATCAACAATTGGAACGGTTACGCCAAGCATATCTAGAATTGCAACAGCAAACACAAGAACTACAACAACAACAGCGTAACCCGGTGTTATATGATACACAATCAAATAATGCAAAAGACAACATTTTAAAAACGATAAATCATCTACCCATTTTCACCGGCACCGGAGAAGTAACGGTGAACAGCTTTTTTAGTAGCACTGAATACTTGCTGTCAACTATACAAGATGAAAATATTAAGAAGGAGGCCATAAGAACAATATTCTATAAAATAATCCAGGGACAAGCTAAAGACGTCATAATAAACATACCCACACCGGACAACTGGCAATTAATCAAAGAGACTTTAAAACTAAGGTATAGACCGAACGTGGAACCACACAATATATATAGGATGATAGCCAACTTAAAAGTAAATTCGGTAAGTGAATTAATAATAGAGTTGCAGAATCTAAAATATAAGGCAGATGAGTTAATAGTTTATTACCGAAATGACCACTATATTGACTTATCAAACGTGGACAGTCTTTTAGTAAATACAGTTAAGGAAATGACACAAGGTACACTGTTAGACAAAATTTACGAAGAAAGAAACATTAATGATATATTAAAAATATTAACAAGAAGGAGATTTGAAGACACATGCATTAGGCCAGAATATAGGAAGTTTAGGACTAAAGACGACGTAACATTTAGACAAAATCGGTCGCAAAATAGGAATAATTTTAATCCGCAGATTAACAGTAATAACCAGGGATATAATCAACGGAATTGGTTAGGACAAAATAATTTTAGGTCGGATATTAGACAAGAACGAAATAATAATGATAATAATAAAACCTATAATAATAATAATAACGATAACTATAATAGGAATAGAAACTTTAATCATTCAGGACAGTATAGAGTCCAACAAAATAACAGTTATAATAATAACTATAATAATAGGAATCAAAATGGAAATTTTAATCATTCAGGACAGTATAGAGTCCAACAAAGTAACTATAATAATATGTCGGGAAATTTCAGAAGGTTTCAGCAACAGGTAGGAAACCCTAGGCCAAATTTCAGCCAAAATCGCTTGAATCAACCTAGGCAAGACCAGCAGGAACCTATGGAAATAGACAATATAGAAGTAGATAATTATCGAGTAGTAGGAAACTCTGAACCAAATTTACATCAGGATAACGGACAAGACCAAAGACAAAATAATTTTTTTCGGAAACAACCTCCGATTGTTTACCTACCATAACCATTACGATTAATAAAAGGAAATATAAAGCTTTGATTGATACAGGCGCAAACTTAAGCCTGATTGACAGTAAGGTAAAAGATTTTGAACGAGTTTTACTAAAACAACCTATAGAATTTAGCACCATAACTAGGAAGGACATAATTAAATTTGAAGTTATAACTGACGCACCTATGGAATTTAACTTACCAAATTATACAAAAATTAAGTGGAAAATGCAAGAGTTAAAAGGAAGAAAGTACAATTTTATTATAGGAGTTGATTTACTAAACCATTTTAACACGATGATAAATTTAATAGACGGACACATAACATTTAATAACAAGATTACAAAATTTTTAATTAATCCATATAAGGATTTGGAAATATGTTCATTGGAAAAACTGGAAGTTGACTTGGACAGAATTCAGTTGAATCATTTAAATGCAGAGGAGCATTTAGAAGTTACGAGAATTTTAAGAAGATTCGACAAAATATTTTTTAAAGAAGGGGACCAATTGACAAGTACAATGACAATAAAACATGAAATAAGAACGACAACAAATGAACAGATAAATTCCAAATTATACAGATATCCGCCACAACATGAAGAAGAAGTACGACGACAGATCAGGGAAATGGAGGAACAGGGCATAATTAGGAAAAGTTGTTCAAGATATTCAAGCCCATTAATAGTAGTACCCAAGAAAATAGATAATTCTGGAGAGCGTAAATATAGATTAGTGGTAGATTATAGGAAGCTTAATGAAGTGACGATCGATGATAAATATCCACTACCGAACATAGATTCAATTTTAGATAAACTAGGACGAGCACAATATTTTACTACCTTGGATCTAGCCAAGGGATACCATCAAATTCTAATAAGAGAACAGGACAGAGAGAAAACAGCTTTTGTGACACCTCACGGATTATATGAATTCATAAGAA